CCGAGGCAAAAGCTCCTCAAACTTGTCGTTGATGAAGACCCGCTTCACATAGAGCTTGATGGCGCGCGAGTTCTCGTCGAACATGGACCGCATCAGCTCGTAGGGGAGGACCGAGGGAACGTACAGGACGGCCTTGAACTCGACCTGGCCTTCCAGCGAAAAGTGCGTGTAGTTCAAGGGCTCGTCGAACATGCGGAAGGTGGTGCGGTAGAATTCTTTGTACTCCTCCGGTGTCACCTGGCGCGGCGGCCGCAGCCAGATCGGCTTGGTCTGATTGACCCGCTCCCATACATTCGTCTTCTTGGAGACCGTCTTCATCTTCGGCTTCTCCCCCTCAGCAGGAGGAGGGGCCGTATCGTCGGGGACCTGGTCGTACTCCGTTTTCTCAGTCCAGAGCTCGATGGGAAATTGCACGAACTCGCTGTACCGCTGAAGCAGAGTCTTAAGCTTCACCGTGTCCAGATACTCCTCGCAGTCCTCCTTCAGGTGCAGCGTGATGCGGGTGCCCGATCCCTCGACAGCGTCGCCGTCTACATCCTCCGCCACGGTGAAGGAGGACCCGGCCGAGGACTCCCACCTGTACTGACGCTTGTCCTCGCCCTGCGACGGCTTCGTCACCACCGTCATCTTGTCTGCGGCCAGAAAGCCTGAGTAGAAGCCCACTCCAAACTGACCGATCAGATTTAGATCTGCGTCCCCCTTAGCCAGCGCCTCGGCAAACTTCTTGGTACCGGACTGCGCGATGCGCCCCAAATTCTCCACCAGCTCCGTCTTGGTCATGCCGATACCAGAGTCCTCAATTGTCAGTGTGCGCGCTTCCCGGTCGGGTTTGATGCGGATGCCAAATTCACCCGCGGCCGCTGCTTCCCCGTCCGCGGTGATTGACAAGAAGCGCTTTTTGTCACAGGCATCCGCAGCGTTCGAGACAAGCTCCCTCAAGAAGACGTCGCGATCAGAGTACAAAGAGTTGATAATTATGTCCATTACACGCGCCACCTCTGCCTGGAATTCGAATGTCTCGCCTTCCGCTTTGACCGGTGCTTCTGCGGTCGATGCACTCATCGACAAAGGGCTCACAGGCGTCCGTAAGAGAGTCTCGGACTGAGGTCGTGCCTGCAGCTGCTGCTGCAACTTAGGGCGAGAAACAGACCCCTTCCCCGCATGCGGGATGAACCCTTCAACGCGTAGCATCGCCCCCAAGAGTGTCAACGCAGCTGTTGCAAACAGCACGCTGCTGCCCCGTCGCATAATCATGCTCAAATGCTCTGTCAGCACGGCACAAGATTTCCAAAGGACCGGGGAGGTGGCGGTGAGATATGCGTGCATGGTGATGTTGCCCGCGTCAGCGGAGTCTTGCAGTGGCAAAAAACCAAAACAAACAACGAAACATTGATGCACGTGAGAAGACTCGAAAAGATATTTGTAAAGACATGTGTATCGTGAGAGGAGTGCGTGTCTCCGTCGTGGGGCAGGGCATTGGCAAAGAGGCCTCCACCTTCATGGAACAGTCTGGAAAATCGCGAGGCTACCGCAGCCATCCGGAGCGTGCGTCACCCGCTTGAGGATACATGGGCCGACCCTTCGTGTGCGGCGCGCATAGAGCAACTGACTGGGTACATGCAGTGAAACTTGCTTACGGAGCATTAATAATAAAAAATGTGCGAGAGACCCCTGACACTCGATCAGTGTCCTGACTTCTGACTCCTCGCTCCTTTGAAGTATCATGCGTGAGCGGCTTGTAGCAATATATTGCATCAGTGGGAACATTTCAATGTGTTCCAACACAACAACACCTTGTCGAAAGACCTTATTTTGACACACACGCCCTGTTTTCCTGCAACATCTTTTTTAATTGCTTAACATTTACACAGTCCTCAGCATTTTCCGCATATCTTTGACTGTGCGCTTCTCCTTAGCCCATTCAGTGGCTTCACCCGCCTCCATGACCCAGCGCGCAATGTGAGCAAGCTCCGTCTTTCTCACTTCCTTAACTTCCTCGGGATCATCTGAAGTAGAAAACATTAAGTCCAAATGATGAGCGCCTTCTTTTAATGTGAGGGCTACAACTGTGTCCGATATGTTGTGCAAAACACCTGTTCCGGACCAGGGATCTAGAAGGCCGTTCGAGAAGACTATATTGGATGCTGTTTCTAATGCCTTTAGACCTCCATACATGGTAACAGCCCACGTTCGGCGAGGGTGTACACCAAAGCGCCTAAAACAGGCATCTGACTGAGCATTGGCATCCCACGGTGCCGGCCAGAACATATCTTTCGAATCGGGAGAAAAATGAAGTAGCAAGGATTATCCAGTCAGTAAAACAATGTCGTCCTGCGGCGACACAAAAATTCGTTTATATGCTTGTGAGGTGCCGTATACATCGGCTTGAAAGATAAATATTCGAGTTACTTGCCGCAGGAGCGCTCCCACCGTCTCCCTGCCCCATCGGATCAACAAGCACGTGAGGACGCGTAACTCACCTCGGATACCGTCGCTACCACTAGGCATAAACATTTCCGTACAGAACTGATACGTCCAATGGTCCTCCACCATCTGCGACTCTTTGTTGACGCCTGCCGCAAGGTCGAAGCATTGGATGGGGGCCTCCCCATCCGGTCTGGAGTAGTTGTAGTACACGGAGACGGCGTTCCTGAGGCCCTCTAGGAGAGTGACATTGCTGGAGAGAGTGGTGGGGAAGTTCAAGAATTCGCAGGCGACGCGAACGGGCCAGGCAGGGAGGGTTCCTCGTCCGTTCAGCACATAGGTGGAGGGGAAGGGGTAGTTGCCCATGGCCATGTAGGCCCAGGCACCTGACGCAGTCGTGAGAGAGGAAGAGAGTATGGTAGCCGGGGTAAAGATAAGGGTACGTATGACTAGGCATGTAATCCTTCCTTTATTAAAAATCCTAAGCAAGCTTGGAGACAGTGCTTGACAGCACGTGTCTGCACATTTCCACTTGTATTTTATGCTGAAACATCGATACGTCATACACTCACTCTGTAACCATCCCAACAGTAAGTCGACGTCCTCTGCCGTCGCAAGTGCCCCTTGACAGATCCGAAATCGCTCCGTCAGTTCCTGCCTGCCGGTCACGCTTGCAGCCAGGTCCTTGATAACGGGCCAGGCCGCCCTGACATTGTCGGCGCAATACGCGTTGGACCCTCCTTCAGGAGACGCGTCGCGGGTAACGATGTAGCTGAAGGACTCGATTCCCTCCTCGCCAACCTCCGGCTCAAAATCCAGCACGGGCGCTGAGCCGGCGATCGCCCCACTGACGAGGTGAGGGTACAGGAGGCGCCACCAGCTCGCTAGCATGCCTCCGTAGCTCCCACCGAAGGCGATCACAGGAGAATCGGGAGAATTGAGCTCTGTCTTGAGCGCGATGATGAGCCGGGCGTAGTCGGCTAGAGCCTGCTCGGAGCTGTATCCGGAGAGATGCGAGAGGGATGAGTAACACGGACACCCTTCTTATGTCTCTTGTTCCGTAACATTCGATCCACACCCGCTGCAGCGCTTCCAAATTTTACCTCAGATAGTCCATTTTATGTGCTGTGAAAGGCTGAAGTGGTTGACTTTTCCCATAATACCGGTGCTCGGCGAAGACGAGAAGGGCCCCGAACTCCGGGGCATTCTCCCACATGAGCCCAGAGGCGTTCAAGTACAGGGTGACGTCTGCTTCATTGCCACTGCGAATGAGAGATGGGGTGACATGAGGTGTCTATGCAATCCGATAGAAAACAAAACATTGTCATCGTCGTCAGCGTGCGTCACGGACACTAAAGGAGAGCAGCCCTCGTAGCAAGCTTACGTGTAAAAGAAAATGGGGGCTCCAAGCCCTCCCCACCACAACTCGCCGCAGACGAAGTAGCGTTGCTGGAAAGTGAGACCCTCAAGGTTGTTCTCCGGATGGTATGCAAAATGGTCGATCGGCTGCTCGAAGTACCTCTCTGAGCAATCGCTTATCCCTGGTCGTGAGGGGTCATGGGCGGCAGGCAAGGCCCAGTGCGATGTCAGACCCCCATGGAAGCGCTGTGACTGAACATTGACACAGGCAAGCAATCCATACATGACCACAAGGATAGACGGATGCCGGTTCATGACTGGGCGTATTTTGCGCATGTACGTGATGGTAGCTAATGGGCCGAAGACGTTGTTGTTGCCCCCCCTTTCACTCTCACGTCTTAACGATGCAACTTCAGCGCGCAAAACGAGATGTTGTCGCCTGTGGATACATGGGCATATCTATTATTTCATAAAATTATGCAATTTGATAAGACCTAGGTGCCAATGGAAACGGCGCTTTGCTCATCGGTATTTGAATTGCGTCCTCGTTTCCCTCTTGTTCGTTTTCTCACCGTGGCGGCGAAAGCGACCTCCCCCCCCTCACATGCCGGGACGCATTACTTCGGGGAAAAACTTGTTAAACGAATCGACATTGACCTTTCAGTACCTTTTTAGCCCTTGTACAGGAGCATCTGCGTTAGGCGATGGTGAACGAGTTCTGCTCATGCTTAGCTCACCTCTGGGAGTCTTCGGAGGAACACGAGAGGTCACAAAAGCGGGGCGGAGGCGCCGCGCGGTCCGTGAACATGACCCGAGGGGACACTGGAAAAGGCACAGAGGACGCCACAACTCCCCGAGTCAAGCATGACATAAATATGAGAGGCAGTCAAGTTCGTGTCAAGGAACTAGCAAACGGACGGTTCCTTATAAGCGGTGCGGGGCTTACGATCGCTTCCCTGCCTTTGGAGCAAGGTCAGTACATGAGCGCACTTTTTCCATTCCTTTATTAAAAGGCCACAGCTCTGACATCTCATAAGCAAACGTGGTAACCATGATTTCCCCCTGGCGCATACCCGACAAATAAACGGCTGAACGCTTTCCCTTCACCCAAATTTAGACTGTAGCTTTTGGCAGGTGAAGGTGCTGCAACCAGGCCGCTTCAGTATGGGAGTTTCTCGCGCGGCCGAGGCGAGCGCACTGGAAGGTATGAAAGAGCCTCTTGAGTGGGCGCTGCGCGTGAATAGTGCGGAGGCGCAAAGTGAACGTGAGGAGGATGGAGAGAGCGCCATGGTAGTCAGCAGGGACGGAGACATCTTCTCCTGTGTCTTCGATCAGTCGTCCTGTCCCATGCTCCGGTTCTTTCAGAATGGGAAGGAGTTGGAGAAGCAGGCCATCAATCGAGTACGAGGTCTGGTGTTCCCGGCCCTCGAGCTATTCGGGGATGGGGTGGAGCTTTCTTTCTTGTTCCACGAAAGCGAGTGGTCTTACCCGCCCCCTTCCAGTCGGTACATGATGA